TGGGCCATCGTGGAGCCATCTTGAGGCTTCAGACGGCAATTTGAAGCGAAACTGCGATAATGCCACATTCATGTATTTGCCTAGCGTTTTGGACGGCTTTTGTCTCTTGTGAACATCCTTGGTCGGCTTCGTGGCCACTCGGGCACCCGAGATGCCGAAACCTTTTGAAAAACATTTGGTCTGCGCTGTTTTTGTCTTTGAGCGACGTGGGGATCCTTCAATTAGCCCCACCCATCTGGAGACCCCAGAGTCGGCTCCTGGGGCGCTCTTGGGGCTCCTGGGCGCTCTTGGGACCGTCTCGGGGCCCTCTTGAGCCTTCTGCTGGGGTTATCCTGGGCCATCTTTGAGCTATCTTGAGGCTTCGCAAGCTCATCGGAAACGAAAAAGGTGATACAGTCAACGCGCGTAGTAAGGACGCGCGCCTTCATCTAGGGTGCTATTGTGCCCTTGCCTCTGCAGTTCGTCCTTTGTCGTTTCCACTGGTCGCCCGACGCTCGAAAAATCCCAACTTCGGCCTCCAAGGTTCTTTCATCCTTGCCACCAGTCCTTACTCCACGCTCTGAGTGTAACGCAAAACGCATGGAGTTTCCTCAGGTTTTGAGGGGCTTGACCTCTCGCGGACTCCCCTGGTTCAGACCCAAAGGGAGGGCTTTCCCTCATAGCGCGGTCGAAGCCTTCCAGTCTCCGCTTCGGCACGGGACCGGGGCGTGCGGAGGACGCCCGCGCTCCAACACGGTCCCAAGAGGCCTCCAAGAGGGTCAAAGAGGCTCCCAGGACGGTCCAAGGCTGCTCCGAGACGCCGCAGATGGCTTCAGGACGGCCCCAGAGGCACCCAAGATGGCCCAAGCGGGCTCCAAGAGGACCTCCAAGAACCCCAAGACGTAAAACCAATCCCATTCCTCTCGGGAAGCGTATATCTGTAGCAAATTCGTTTTTTTGGTTTCAATCGCGTCCCAGAAGCCCTCGGGGCTCAGGAGGGTTCCAGGGGGAGCCCAAGACAGCCCTCCAGGCCCCAAAAGCACGCGCAAGACGGGCTCAAGAGGGATCCAGGAAGGCCCCAGATGCCTTCATGTTTCGATAAGGCCAACAGAGGATGCAACACGCATAGCGCTTTTTGCTTTCATTTTGGATGTGAGAGTCCCCAAGTGGACCCCAAGAGGACCCGAGAGGCCCCGAGAGGCCCCCAAGATGCCCCCAAGCGGCTACCAATCGGCCCCCAAGCGCCCCCAAGAGGCCCCTAGTAGGCTTTGCTAGGCGATGGGCGAATTCTTTCGGCGTGGGGGTAGGGGGATGGGTAAACCCCTTCCCGAAGGTGAAGAAGGGGGTTGGAGGAGGACGCGAGCTAAATCACTCGTGACCATGTGCGGGTTGCCAGAGCGAGAACGTGATTGAAGCATGGTGCCGCCCTGTATTCGTTCAACGGTCGGGGACTTTGATTTTCGTTTTGGTCTTTACGATCACGAGGTGTGGGGAAGTCTCAGGCGAGAACACGTTGTTGAGCATGTGGTGTTCGTAAGCCAGGGGCCCGTTGAATGTTGCACGATTGCATATAAAGCGCGTCGTGTGACTTCTTAGGCGAGATCACGAAAGCGAGCGCGACCCTCCTCCATCTGTGTAGCTGTCTATTTTTGGGTGCTTCATGGCCATAACATGTTGAAACAGCATCGTCCAATCATACTGTTAATGCGATGTGTGTGTCGGCACCCGAGCAGCGACCCGCGCGCGCGCTCAGACATCTCACAGGATATGCTCGGTGGTGGGCGCTTTCTGGCCACACCGCCTGGGTAACGATATCTTGTCAGAGTGAGGAGGGCCGCACGGTCATTCTCTGTCCCTGTGCGCGCTTGGCCGAAAGAGGAGTCTGTGCGCGGGGAGGGCGCGCCGGGAGGGCGCGCCGGGAGGGCGCGCGGGGAGGGCGCGCAGGGAGGGCGCGCGGGGAGGGCGCGCGGGGAGGGCGCGCCAGGAGGGCGCGCGGGGAGGGAGCGCGGGGAGGGCGCGTCGGGAGGGTGCGCCGGGGGAGCGCGCGTGGAGGTCGCCTTCCGCCTTTCTTCCGTAGCCGTCTCGGCCCATGGCACCGAAGGCGCGCGCGAAACCCAAAGTCCAGCGCCTCGTGCGCCATGGCGTCCCGCGCGCGCCCAGTGGCTCCCAGCCTGGCTTGCGAGCTGCCACCGCTGCGCGTCGCGAGGTTCATCATGACGGAACGGGGGCCTAAAAGAAAAATGTCCCCCATTTCTATCGCCGTTTTCGCGTCCAGGGCTTCCCCGCGCGCCCTCGGGGTTTCAAAAAACGACCTTGGGAGATTTTGGGGTGCAGGACCCGTTTCCTTGAGGAAGTGTTTCGTTCATGCTCTGAGGCTCTCTTGGCACGGCCAGGTGTTTGGCACGAGTGCCCAAACTGCACGGCTGCCGTGCGCGTGGCTGCCGACGTCGCGCCGACCAGTTGCATTTCTTGCCCGGTGCGCTCTGTGCGGGTGAACGCTGGCGTTCCGGTGGCGTGCGACTTCAAAACCAAAGCCCGGGCTTGGCGACGGCGTGCTGTTGTTCCAGACGACCGCGCGCAAGCGCGCACTTCGGCGGTCCGGGAGTGCATCGTCGAGTTCGAGACCAAGCATTTGGCGGGCCAGCAGATCCCAGGGGGCTTTGGACTGCCGTGCGTGGAGAGGCGCGCCGGCGCGTTCCCCTCGTTGGGCCTTTGCCCGAACCGGCCGCTGCAGCCCAGCCCTTGCCTTGAAAAAGTCGCCGAAGTCGATTCCGCCACTCCCCCATGTTCATTTCCACCCTCTCCTTCCGGTCCCTCCTCACTCTTATCCGCAATTGCGGGGTGCTACGCATCCTTCTGCGTCCCATTGAAGTCCCAGGCGCGAGCCGAGCGTTGAGAAATACAAGTGTTCCGTCGGTTTGCCTGCCACGCATTAGATGTGGTCTGAATCTTGACGCGTCATTCCGTCTGATACTTCGTCACGTGTTGTGACGTAAGACGTGAGGAAGTCTCAGGCGACCCGCCTGGACCGCTCTACGAACGCGTCTGGTGGTGCAGCAAGAAGGGTGGAAGCAGGATGCTGGGAGAGATATCGGAGGAAAGAGAGCTGAGGAGGGGGGGGGGCAGAAGGAGCAGGAGGAGCAGGAAGAACAGGATGAGGAGGAGGAGGAAGGAGGGGGAGGAGGCGGGAGGAGGGATGATGATGACGATGAGGATGATGATGCTGCTGATGATGATGATGCAGATGCTGACGATGATACTGATGGTGGTGATGATGATCGTGATGGCGATGATGCTGATGATGCTGATTATGATGATGATGGCGGTGGTGATGATGATTATGATGATGCTGATGGTGGTGGTGCTGGCGCTGATGATGGTAATCGTTGTGATGATGTTGATGGGAGTACTACTATGCTGCTGATGATGATGATGGTGGTGGTGGTGGTGATTATGACACTGGTGACGATGCTGATGCTGTTTATTATGTCATTGCGGATGCCTCTGTCGGAGTCGATGACGATGATGCTGATGATGATGATATTGACGGTTATAGTTATGATGCTGACGATGATGGTGATGCTCGTGGTGGGTGGTGGTGGTGATGATAACAATGCTAACGATGATGCGCCTGTTGATTATGTTCATGCTGATGCCGGTGACGATGACGATGGCGATGGCGATGATGATGATGATGACGATGATGACGACGATGATGATGCTGATGCTGATGCTGATCATGCTGATGATGATGCTGCTACTGATGCTGACGGTGATGATGATGGTGATGATGGTGATGATGATGCTGTTGATGATGATGGTGATGATGATGGTGGTGATGATGATGTTGAGGATGCTGACGATGAGGATGATGATACTGTAGTTGGGATGTGGATGGTAACAATGGTGCTGATGATGCTGCTGAGGGTGATGTCGATTACGATGCTGCGGATTTCTTCGATGCAGACGGCGATGGCGGTGCGCATGACGACAATGGTGATGGTGATGATGATGATGCTGCGTCTGATGCCGATGTGGCTGCTGCTGCAGATGATGATGCCGATGCCGACCATGATGATGCTGTTGATGATGATGAGGATGATTATGCTGATGACGCCGATGATGATGATGATTATGGTGGTGGTGGTGATGGCGTTGATGATGACGACGACGAATCAGCTGATGCTGATAATGGCGATGCTGATGATGCTGATGCTGATTCTGATGACGATGCTGATGATGACGGCGGAGAAGATGATGACGATGATGACGATGACGATGACGATGATGATGACGATGATGCTGATGATGACGTTGATGATGATGTTGATGATGATGGTGCGCATGATGATGTTGATGATAATTGACATGCCGCTAAGGGTGCTATTGATGTCGCGATGATACGGGCTGTGGTCATGGTAATTCTGATGTTTGTGACGACCACGCTGATGATGACGATGCCGACGACGATGCTGATTGGGTTGATGATGGTGATCGTGACGATGGTGGTGGTGGTGCCGAGCAAGATGAGGGCGGATGGCGGAGGAAGGATGGATAAACGACTCGTGGGGAGGTGTGCGAACGATGCGCAGAAAGGAGGAAAGGGTGAGGGGAGGAGGATGAGGAGCGAAGAGAGGGGCGAGGGGGATGATGAAAAAGGAATGGAGATAATAGGATTTGCGCCAGGTGTACGAGTAGGCGAGTAACGATGCAAAGAGTGAAAGAGGGAAATGTATGTATGTATGTACGTACGTACGTATGTATGTATGTGCATATACACAGAACATATGTATGCACACGTATTTATGGATAGAGAGAGAGAGAGAGAGAGAGAGAGAGAGAGAGAGAGAGAGAGAGAGAGAGAGAAGAGAGAGAGAGAGGAGGAGGAGGAGGAGGAGGAGGAGGAGGAGGAGGAGGAGGAGGAGGAGGAGGAGGAGGAGGAGGAGGAGGAGGAGGAGGAGGAGGAGGAGGAGGAGGAGGAGGAGGAGGCGGAGGAGGAGGAGGCGGAAGAGCCCGGCGAGGACATGCTCGCGCTCCTCCTGGCCTCCGTGGGCCATGACGCAGCGCACCCTGGGACCAACAACGCCTTTCAGGCGAAACCGAGCTCGAAGCTCGCACTCTTGTCTCCTCTACCCCCTCTCCTGTCCTCCTCTTTCTCTTCCGAGCTCTGCCTCACTCCTCGTTACTCCTCTTCGTTTCCCTTTTCCCCCCCCTCCGCCTCGCCTCCTCCGCCTTCTCCTCCGACCCGTGGCGGTGAACAAACATATCAGCCTGAGCCATGTGCCTCGACAAGTACAGATTCTCGTCCCTCGTCCCTTGCTCCATTTATGGCCAGTCTAATTTCAAACCCCTCCTCCCTTCTCAGCCCTCCATCGCCCCCTCTCCCTTACAACCGTTCGTCCCCCCCCCTCACTCCTCCTTGCATCCTCATCCCTGCTCCCGCCTCACTGGTTCCTTTTCCTTCCTTTCTTATCTATCGTCCTTCCTCTGTCACCCTCTCTCCCCCCTCATCATTCCCCGTCCTCGCTGGTACTGCCGTCGCTGCTGGTGGCCCCTATCATCGTCCTGCTCCTTATCCCACCCCTCCAGAGCCCATTTTGATCCGATCGATCTAATTCGATATCGATCTCCGCTGGCAATAATTCGATTCGACTCCGATATCCCGACGATCCGATGCGGCTGAATGCTTGCATGTTGTTGATGTACATCTTGGTGCAGCCGATCCGATTCGATTCCCTCCGCGACGATGCAGCCCGATCCGACGCATGTTTCGATTCGATCCGATTTCCCGATCGGATGCTGACTGATCTGGCCCCTCTTCATCCCTCCTTCAAACTTGCCCCTCGTGGTTCCAGGTGAAGACGCGCTCGAAGCTCGCGACACTGTACAACGACAAATCGGTGCTCGAGAACATGCACGCCAGCGTGTTCTTCGAGCTGGCCCAGGCGCCCGACCGCGCGTGGATGGAGGTGTTTGCGCCGAAGCACTACGACAAGTTCCGCGCGAAAGTGATCGAGGCGATCCTGGCCACAGATATGGCCCACCATTTCGAGCTGGTCGATCGCTTCAGCACCCGCGTGGCCAAGAAAACGGACAACCCATTCTTCACCAGGTTCGAGGAGCCCGATGTCGAGAATGCGGAGATGCAGAAGGCGACCAAGGCCGACCGCATGATGCTGATACAGGCGGTGATCCTCCTCATTCTGCTCCTCATCACCCTCGTCATACTCTTCCTCTTCATTCTTACCCTCATCCTTCTCTTTATACCCGCGTGTTCCTCCTCTTCCTCTTCCTCCTCTTCCTCCTCTTCCTCCTCTTCCTCCTCTTCCTCCTTTTCATTCTCCTCCTTTGCCTCCCCGTTCGACCTTCCCACCCATCCTTCTCCCCAGAAGCGTCAGTCATAGTTCCCCAGCCTCTTCCCCGATCGCCTGCCTCTCTCCGCCGCTTTTTCGTGCAGGCGCTGCGAAGCACGCATGCGTACTCTGGGGAAGTCAAGTGATGTTTTACAGCGGAGCCTCCAGCGCCCGACTGCAGTACGTACCCCCTCTCTCCAGGGCCCTTCCTGGGGATCTCCCGAGCTCGCCTGGGAACTCCCAGCTCCCTGGAGGACGGGCCAGGACATCCCCTGGAGGACCGCGGCACGCTTCGAGCGGAGCCCCGGGGACGCCCGCAGCCGTTTTGGCCCCAGCCGCTTCGACCCCAGGATTTTGAGATCGACCTCGCTGCCCGCCGCACCCGGCCGCGCCTGCGGTGTATCGCCGCGCCTCCGCACGCGATGGCCCCCCTCCGCTCTCGCTCGGCCCTGCCCGCCCTGGTGCTCGCCGCCCTCGCCCTCGCCGCGTGCCGGCCCGCCGCCTTCGTCCCCGCGCCGGCAGGGGCGCCCCCGGCGGCCGGCGGTGCGGGCAGCGAGGCGCACGCTGCGGTGCTGGCCGCCGCCTCCGCCGTGCCCGCGCCGGCGCTGGCGCTCGCCTCCGAGGACGACGACGGGTTCGACGTGCGCATCATCGCCGTCCTGGCGCTGCCGCTCCTCGCCGCCTCGTGGGCCCTCTTCAACGTCTGGCGCGTGGCCTTCCGCCAGGGCGCCCGCATCGGCGAGGGCGTGGGCGGCGGGAACTCGAAGATCGGCCTGGCCCCAGAGGAGTGATCGTGGCCGAGGGCCAGCCGGTCCAAGGCCTAGTGGGCGCCCGACGGGTGAGTGGCACGCAGGGTGCGTGTGAGCGCCCCGCCTCCTCCAGAGCCTCCCCTCCGCCCTCTGCCGCCTCCCCTCGACCCCCCTCGACCTCCCGACCGCCGCCGCCGCACCCCTGCTACCCGCAGGCCTCGAGAGCTCGCCCTGGAGGAATTCATCAAAGGGAGGGCGCGCTCTGCAGCTAATTTTCCCCATGGATTTTTTCTCCGCCGCCCGCTCTGGCGCTGTCGGGGCGCCGCCGGGCGGCCCAGGGGCCCTCTCCGGGTGCCCGCCTCCGCGCTCGCCAGAGTGGCTGGGCGGACCGCCGGGAGGGGCCTGCAAGCGTGGACGCAAACTCGTCGCATCCGCCCTCATCCTCGTCATCCTCCATCCAGCAGTGCGGCCAAGCGCCCCAGCGGCGCACGGGCGGGAAGACTCGCTCAAGCGAGCCAGAGAGGACGGACATGCCCCCCCCCATCAACAAAAAAAGAGGAGAAGACGTCCCCGGGGACCTCCCAGGAAGATCCCAGCGGGGTCCCGACAGCCCTAATTAGGCAGCCCAAGAGGTGCTGTGGAGGCCGTCTTGGACCATCTTGGGCGGACTTGGAGGCCATCTTGGGCCATCTTCGCGATTTTTTGAGGAAGTCCCGAGCGAAACGGCCGTTTTTGGCATTGACTTATGCAGTTTCCGGGTGGCCGGCGGGACGGGCCGAAGCCCCAGGGGGAGTTCTTTTGGAAAAAGAGCCGAAACCACAACCGAGAGGGTTTAACACGCCAGGCACCCCTGTGATGAATCAACAGGGGGCGGCGGATCCTAGTGGCCTTCGGCCCATCCTGCCACCGTGTCTGTGTTGTGGGTCTGAGACCTCTTGTCCCAGCGGGCACTTCAGTGCGAGTCGGCGACTTGGGGGGGCGCGGTGTCATGGCAACGTCGGCAACGGTAGGCACGACGATGATAGTAGCGATGCTGGTGGCGATGCTGACAACGTTGATGGCGCGGCCAGTGACGGCGCCGATGTTGATCACGCCGACGACCATGAAGTCGTCCTCGCGTCGGTGATGAAGGTTTTGGGAAGAATTCGACATGCGCGCGCGGCCGACGCGCAAGAGTGGTCCGCGTGGTATTATTTGACACGGATCGTGCCCCCCCCCCAGCGCGCGCAAGGGCGTGCGAATGATTTCGGCATGCCGCGCGAGAGGCCCGTGTGGCAAAATTCCATGAACATGTTGAAACTTGTTGGTTTTGTTATATAAACATATAACAATACTTATATGTGTGTATGTATGTATGTATGTATGTATGTATGTATGTACGTACGTACGTACGTACGTACGTACGTATGTATGTATGTATGTATGTATGTATGTATGTATGTATGTATGTATGTATGTATGTATGTATGTATGTATGTATGTATGTTTGTATGTATGTACGTATGTATGTATGTGTTATATATATATGTATATATGAACAGTTACGAAAAGAGGCGTTTTTCCATGTGTTTTTGGACACTCGGTTTCGAAATCGTTACGAAACCGAGAGTTTTTGACTGATTCCTGCATGCGCGCGCGACGGCGCGAGCGTGTGCACTTCGTCCCTTTTTTGTAGAATGGGTTCTCGCCACAGCACGCGCGCCAAGGCGTTCGAACGATTTCGACATGTGCGCGCGCGAAGCCCTCTTGGTAGCATGTTATGAACATGTTGAATACAGATGGTCTTCGTGACAATTCGCAAGAACGCGCGCAATTGTTTTTGAACATCCGCGTTGCGAGACCCTGTGTTTTTATATGTCTGTTTGGGACACTCGATTTTGACATCCTTACAACACCGCAGGTCTTTGATGGATTTCGGCATGCGCGCGCGACGACGCGCGAATGTGCACTTCGTCAAACTTTTTCCAAAGGGTTAGTGGCAATTGATGATTTTTGATGAACGTGTGCGCGCAAACGGTTTCTTTTGCAGAGGGTGGCGGGGGGGGTCGATACCGGCTCGGCTGGGATGGTACGGGTTCCCATTGAGGATGGACGATTGGGGCGGAATCGTATGTATGTCGCAGTTCGATAAGAGGGACGGATAATCCCGGGGGGGAGGGGCGGGAGAGTTTTCCTTTTCAAGACAGGAGAATCTATGGGCGACGACGGCGGCAGCATAGCCGCCAGACCCGCAGACAAGCCCAGACGACGGGTGGCGACGAAGCGGCGAGGGGGCGGCGACAGCGGCAACATAGCGGCCAGAGCGGCAGACAGCCCCAGACGACCGACGGCGACGAGAAGGCGACGAGAAGGCGACGAGGCGGCAACATAGCTGCCATATCAACAAACAGGCCCAGTCCCTTAGAGGAGAAGTGATAATCTCTAAGTGCGAACGCTGTTTGGTGAACGTACACATGCATGTATGTATGTATAAGCTACAACGAAGTCTTGGTGCACACTTCGGCTAGGGAAGCGTGGCGCGAATTGCGCGACTCCTCATCACAAGCGCATCGCAGATGGTACCCGTGGACGAAACGAGCGATTTCTCTGGAGGGCATCGTCAGATTGCACGCGGCCCGCCGAGCGGCGTTGTTCCGACGGGGGCTATGGCATGATCCTCCAGATGGGGGGGGGTCACAGGGCATTCCCGAAGCATCGGCGGGGACGGGGTCTGGGAGGAGACGTGTCCTGGGCGGCGGTCGAGGGCCCGAGCTGGGCTGCTGGCGGAGGCGTCACGGGCGGGCGCGGACCACGAGGGGGCCCCGTCGGGCGGGCGGGCACCGTCGGGGGGGCTGGGGCCGCAGCCAGGGCCGCCGGGGCCATCGCTCGCTCGGGTCGCTCTGGGAGGGGCCCCGGCTGCCCGCGGGCCCTGGAGGTGGTGGCTGGGCGGGCGCGGCCAGCCGATGGCGGGCGGATCGAGCCCCAGCAGCCACCGAACGGCGACGGTCTGCCGACACGTCTGCATTGGAGTCACACAGCAGGTGGACTGCGCGCCAGGACGGGCCGCAGCAGATGGCACACCAGGTGCCTGCTCGAGGCCCTCCCGAGGTTTCGAAGGAGCCAGGCCAGGCGCCCCCGAATGCCCATGGTGGGGCCCCTAGAGTGAGATGTCGAAGGACTTTGGCGCCAGAATGCGAGTGCACCCGGTGGCGTTCGGGGTGGTGGGGGGGGGCTGCGATGCAGGGGTGACGGTGTGGGGGGTGTTCACCAGAGGCTGTGGTATGGTGTTCCCATCGTGAGGGGGCGGCCGGGAGTGCTGCCCCAGTGCAGTGCACGTGGAAGTCGTTTCCCCCGTGTTTCGCACCTTCGCAAATCCCAGCTCTAAAATGCGCTTCCGTGCCGTCCTCCTCACGCTTAGTGCTGCTCGGAAGATCTAGTGCGTGGTTTAGTGCAGGGAGCAGGAAGGTATATTGCGGTGTTGTACAATCCAGTGCAATTTAGTGCGTCGTAGCGTAGTTTAGATAGGAGGAGGGGAATCATAAGACTAATTTGTAGTGCACTTGAATTAATCAGCAGGGTGCGCAGTCAACAGACATGAACAGGGGGCACCCATGATCTTCCGCGCAATCTTCGCCCCTCATTTTGATTCTGGATTCGCCCCTCGTCCTCCGTCCTCCTGGCCCAGGCGTTCGTGCACATGGCGGATCTCGGCCATTGCGCCAGGCCGTGGGATCTCCACAAGCACCTGGTTGCGGGCCTGGAGGTCGAGTTCTTTTCACAGGGCGACAGGGAGAGAGAGCTCGGCTTGCCCGTCATGCCGCTGATGGATCGGACGAAGGACAGCCTCGCGGCGGCCCAGGACTTCTTTCTAGGCCCGATCGGTGTAATCCCACGGCTTAGACACCGCTTCTCCCAACAGGGTCAGCATAAGAACTGCTGGGCTGGAGGGCCCCTGCTCGCGCAAAACCCTCTTTGTGCTGTGCGCGCGTGGGCTGGCTCGGGGCGCACGTTCGTCGCTGCAGGCACATAGGGCTCCGAGAGTGCGGCAACAGGCTCCGAGGGGGCCCCAGTGCGCCTCCAGGACGGCCTATAGTACGTTTGACGAGCTGAATGCCCAGACCCCCAGAGATCCCCCTTTCCAGACGGCCCGAGGCGCCCCAAGACGGCCCTGGGGCTCCTCACGACCTAGGCCCCCTCGCGGCCCCACAATCCACAACGGGACTCCCATTGCGGTAGATTCTTCTCGTGTCGATGCGGTGGCGACCCCGCCGCGGGCGTTCAAGGTTGCTTAAAGAACCCGGAAGGTAGGCCTGCCCTAGGCTTACCCCTGGGGCCTACCCACATCCCTAGGCCTATCCCTAGGGCCTATCCCTAGCCCTATCCCTAGGCCTACCCCTAGGGTTTAACCCTTGGGCCTACCCTAGGCCTACCCCTAGGGCTTACCCGCAGTCTTATTCCCAGGGCCCACCTTTCGGGCCTACCCTAGGCCTATCCCTAGGCCTGCCCTAGGCCTACCCGTAGGGACTATTACCCCTTGGGCCTACCGGCCTACCCCGGGGGCCTACTTCTAGGCATACCCTAGACCCACCCCTAGGTCTCCCTTACCTACCCTAGGGCTACCCCTGGGGCCTACCCCTAGGCCTACCCTAGGCCTACCCCTAGGGCCTACCCCTTGGCCTACCCCTAGGGCCTACCCCTAGGGCCTTCCCCAAGGGCCTACCCCTAGGCCTACCCCCAGGGATTATCCCTTGGGCCTACCCCTAGGCCCAGGGCCCACCTTTCGGGTCTACCTCTATCCCTACCTTAGGCCTAGCCCTAGTGCTTGGGTCTAGACCTGGGGTAAGCCTACCTCGGGGCGTTTTTCCGAGGCATGCTCTAGACCTACTCCCAGGGCCTCTCTCGAACTACAGTAGGCTCCCCCCTAGGATCACCTCTAAGATTACCCTCATGACCACCAGGGCCGACGCCCAGACCCTACGTCCCAGGCATACGCCCAGTTACACGCCCAGGCCTTCAGTCTTGGGCGTACATGTAGGCCCGACCCCTAGGCTTACCTGTAGTGCTCACCCCGAAGGCCCAGGGCTTGCCGCATATATTGTACCGCGTACATTGCAGCACACCTACTGCACAACACAGATCGGACAACGTCGATTGCACAACATAGATCGTACAATGGCGATCTCACAAAACGGATCGCACCACACAGATCGCACACGCTTGAATGTCCCGCCCGCCCGACCCGACCCGCCCGTGAGGTTGGCTCTCTCTCTCTCTCTCGCCCCGACGGGGGGGGGGGCTCTCGACCCGCACAGGCCGGCTCCGAGGGGGGCCCCGACGCGCCCCGACCCGCCACAGGGGGCTCCGACCCTTCCCGGGGGGCCCGGGGGGGTCCCCGGCCCGGGTCCCAGGCGCGAGCCCTCTCTGCACCCCAGGGGGTCGCGGCCGTCGCCAGCGTTGGTCGCCAATCCTCGTCGTCGCAGATCCGATGGTGCTGATTTCTCTTGCTTCTGGCCACGGAGGGGCCGCGTCTCGAGCAGTCGGGCAGTCTGGCATCAGCTCGGGATGCGAAAGGTGGTGGAGAATGGACCCCGGAGAAGGCCGTCGAGGCCAGACTTCGAGCGGATCGTCGTCGATATCGTCGTCGTCGTCGTCGTCGTCGTCGTCGTCGTCGTCGTCGTCGTCGTCGTCGTCGTCGTCGTCGTCGGGCCCCAGGGGGTTCTTGGGGGCAAGCGCCAATTTTTTCCGCACCTGGGAGGTCTCGACCGTCGCCGGCGTCGGTTGTCTGTCATCGTCGCCGCAGGTCCGAGAGAGTTGGTGTCCCCTGCTTGTGGTCGTCGTCGTCGTCGTCGTCGGCGCCACTCATGCGTGCCAACGCGAATACACATCATCTGTTAGCGTTCGGCCTACTCCACACGACCCTCCCACGTTGCGTGTGTGCCAGCACGACTAAGCACCGTACTCCGTACTTTAGGATTCGTAAGTCGACCCGGCCGAACCTGGAGAGTGGGCGCATACTGGCGTATCCCTAGGGCACCTAGGCCCATTTTAGCTTGGCCTACGGCTTACCCCTAGGGCCTACCCCAGATGCCCCTATGGCCTACCCCTAGGCCTGCCCTAGGCCTACCCCTGGGGCCTGCCCTTGGGGCCTACCCCTAGGCCTACCCTTGGGGCCCACCCCCAGGCCTTCCCCTACGGCCTACCTACGCCTATCTTGGGCCTACCCCTAGGGCCTATTACCCATAGGCCTACTTCCAGGCCTACCCCTGGACCCTAGAGTAGGGCCTACCCTAGGGCCTAGGGTAGGGCCTAGGGTAGTCTATGCCCTCTGGGTTCTAAATCCTTATATGAACGCCGCTGCTGGCCCAGAATCGGCCAATATGGAACGATCTGGCGATCGAAAAGCTGCGTATGGCTCAAGGTTTAAAAAGATCCACGCGGTGCCAGAAACCAACGCCCCGGACCCTTTCTTGATGGCTCCAAGCCTTGGAAACGCAGCGATTGAAACAATCGTATCGTCGGAGGTCTGGGGAGGCACCAAAAGCGCACTCCGAGATGGGAGGGAGGGAGGCGGAGGAGGAGGCGGAGGAGGAGAAAGAAGGGGATGATGATGATGATGATGATGATGATGATGATGATGATGATGATGATGATGATGATGATGATGATGATGATGATGATGATGATGATGATGATGATGATTAGGATGCTGCTGATGATGCAGATGATGATGATGACGAGGCTGCTGATGATGATGAGGATGATGTTGATGACGATGACGATGATGATGATGCTGCTGCTGCTGATGATGATTAGGATGTTGATGATGCTGAGGATGACGATGATGATAATGGTGATGGTGCTGATGCTGCTGCTGATGATGCTGATGAGGATGATGCTGCTTTTGAGGATGATGGTGATGCTGCTGCTGCTGTTGATGATTACGATGTGACTGCTTATGGTGATGACGATGATGCTGATGCTGATGCTGATGATGCTGCTGCTGCTGCTGATGATGCAGATGATGACGATGGTGGTGGTTATGATGATGATGCTGATGCTAATGATGATGATGCTGCTGCTGATGATGATGACGAACATGATGGTGATGACGATGAATCTGATGATGCTGCTGCTGCTGATGATGATGATGATGGTGGTGGTGATGCTGATGGTGATGATCAGGATGACGACGATGGTGGCGATGGTGATAACGATGATGAAGATGATGATGCTGATGATGCTGATGATGTTGCTGATGATGATGCTGATGATGCTGATGCTGCTGATGACGATGCTGATGCTGATTCAGATGATGATGCTGCTGATGATGATGATGGTGATGTTGCTGATGCTGCTGGTGCTGCTGCTGCTGCTGCTGCTTCCGATGACGATGGTGATGCTGCTGCTGTTGATGATTACTATGCTGCTCATCATGATGACTGTGCTGATGCTGATGATGCTGCTGATGATGCTGATGATGTTGATGATGACGATGGTGGCGGTTACGAGGATGATGATGATCAGGATGATGAGGTTGACGATAATGACGATGCTGCTGATGATGATGATGATGATGATGCTGAAGATTCTGATGATGATGCTGATGATGATGATGCTGATTCTGATGATGACGATTACGATGATGCTGATACTGATGATGCTGCTGATGATGCTTATGATGCTGATGCTGATGCTGATGATGATACTGATGTTGATGATGATGATGCTGATGATGATGATGATGATGATGATGATGATGATGATGATGATGATGTCGACGCTGTTGTGGATCATGATAGTGATGCCTGTGATGGGGATGAGGATGGTGATGGTGGCGATGATGATGACGACGATGATGATGCTGCTGCTGATGATGACGACGATGATGGTGATGATGATGCTGACGATGATGACGATAATGATGATGCTGATGATGCTGATGCTGATGATGATGATGATGATGCGGAGGAGGAGGAGGAGGAGGAGGAGGATGCTGATGCTGCTGATGCTGATTCTGATGTTGATGCTGATGCTGGCGGTGGTGCGGAGCATGAGGAACAGTAAGAGAACGAGGAGGAGTATGAGGAAGAGGAGGCGGAGGAGGAGGACGAGGAAGAAGACATGGAGGATGAGGAGGAGGAGGAGGAAGAGTAGGAAGATGAGGAGGATGCTGATGACGAGGATGATGAGGATGATGAAACTGAGGAGGAGGATGCACATGAAGAGGAACGAGATGATGATGATGATGATGATGATGATGATGATGATGATGATGATGATGATGAGGATGATGCTGATGCTGCTGATGACGATGATGGTGATGATTACTATGATTATCTTGATGATGATGACGATGATGCTGGCGATGACTGTGATGCTGATGTTGATGATGATGCCGTTGATGTTGTTGGTGGTGATGATGGCCAGATTGTGATTGTGATGGTGATGCCGACGATGATGATGCTGATGATGGTGACGATGGTGGTGTTTATGATGATGGCGAATTGATTATGATCATGCTAATGCTGGTGGTAGCGACGGCTGTGATGATGCTGATCATGGGGATGATCTTGCTGTTGTCGATGCTCATGCTGATGGTGACGATGATGACGATGATGATGATGCTGGTGGTGGGTGGTGGTGATTATGATGTTGATTATACTGCTGCTGATGCTGACGATGGTGGCGACGATGGCGATGCTGATGACGATGATGGAGATGATGACGATGATGCTGATGATGCTGCTTCTGATGATGATGATGATGATCATGGTGATGATGGTGGTGGTGACGCTGATGACGAGGATGCTTACTAACATGCCGGCTATGAGGGTGATGATAGTGATGCTTGTGATACGGATTATTATGATGATGATGGTGATGATGATGATGATGCTGATGATGATGATGATGATGCTGATGCTGATGATGATGATGATGATGATGATGATGATGATGATGCTGATGATGATGATTATGAGGATGATGATGCTGATGATGATGATGATGATGCTGATGGGTTTTATGATGCTGATGATGCTGGTGACGCTGATGCTGATGACTATGATGAGGCCGATGGTTATTATTAGTATTGTTTATGTTAGCATTCGTATTATGGTTATTGCTTTTAGTGGTTTTAGAATTTCGATTACCACTATTACCCTCATATAGTTGCTTATTCATTTATGTACGATTATATCATGATCTTTGTCATGATGACGATGCCGATGCTGATACTGATGATGATGACGATGATGATGATGCTGGTGATGATGGTGCTGATGATCATGATGATGATGATGGTGGTGGTGGTGATGATGATGATGTTGATGATGATGCTGCTGGTGGTCGTGATGATGATGCTGATGACGATGGTGATGAGATGAGCTGGAGGACGAGGAGAGGGAGGAGGACATGAGGATAAGGATCAAAAGGGCAGAGGAGGATTGATGGTGGAGAGAAGGAAAAGGAATCTGAGATGGCGTCGAGAAAGAGACGGCTGAGAAGCAGGATGATAGCGAGGGAGAAGATAAGGAAAGTGACGAGGGTGAGGATGGCCATGAGGGAGAGGGCGAGGGGTTACTGGGAGGAGTACCAGGTTTAGAGGGAGTCACACGCGGCGCGCGCGATTACGTTCGACGGGAACTTCAGCGCTTGAGAAGCTCGTGCGCGTAGTGCTAGCATGCGTGAATGTACGCACGTCTTCTATACACGCATCCTGGGTTGCGTTCAAGGTGCCTTACAAGGTCGGGCGCCTGACAAGGTGGAAGATGCTGCGCCTATTGTGGACTCCCCTTTCTGTCTGTCAGACTTCAGTGGGCCGCCGGAGGGGTGGCGACGAAGGCGCCCTATGATGCCCCCATAGGCCCCCAAACACTGCAAGACCTCGATCCTCGATCCTCGATCCTCCTCCTCCTCCTCCTCCTCCTCCTCCTCCTTCTTATCCTCTTCCTCCTTGGTATGTGTGGGGGGGCTGGGCCCCGATTGGCGGCCTCTGGACAAGGCCGCGTCCGCGTCTCGGCTGCTGGACCTGGAGCACCCCCTCGTGTCCGATCCGTGCCCGGTGGGGCGCTCTGTGGATCTGCGACATGCTTGTCGGGGGCGGCCAAGAGGGTGGTGATGACGGGGGGGGGATATCATGGCGGGGGCCATGACGTCTCCCCATATTTCATGGGGCCTCTTCTTATTTCAATACGTCCCTGGCCCCACCCTGGCGCCTCTTCTTATTCCAATACGTCCCCGGCCCCACCCCTGGGCCGCGCGCATGCCGCCGGCCATGATTTGCGCCCACCACCCCTCTTGGACGCCCCCCTCTTGGACGCTCCCTAGCTAGGAGGCGCTTTCATTTTTGTGATCCTGGCCGCTTCTCGGCGGCCGCTTTGGAGCTTCCCTTCCCCCTCTCCCTCCTGGCCGCCTGAGCCCAGAGGCAATCTGGTGCTCCCGCTGCTGACGCCCTACGTCAGCTTTCTGGAGGACCCGCTGGCGATAGACTACCTGGAGACCCTGGACACGAACCGACAGAGGCCCACCGCTGCTCCTCCTTCCGCCCTGCCCCTCGCCTGCTCCTTCTGCCACCCCCTAGGGTTCCCTCACGTTTTGTGGAAAAGCCTTGAGGCCTCGCGCGGCGCGCGATGGTTGCGATTGTTGCGCTACACAGCCGTGACAACAGTTTCTTCAATTTGCTATGATGAAGATCTCTCCCATCCCTCTCAAGATTCCTAACATGACATGATGCTGGGTCATTCGGCGGAGTAGTTTCCGATCCCGGGGACGTTAATGACTCTGTTATCCCAAAACGGGATCGGAAACTACTCCGCGCCAAACCATATAAGTTACCGAACGGGATGCGACTGCGCGCGGAGTAGTTTTAGTAAAACTACTCCGAACTACTCCGCACGAGCGCGTCATTCCAAAAGGCAAATTGAAAGACACTTTCGTCACGGCGATGTATCCAGTCGTCAGGTCCGCCCCGTCAGGTATGGGACGACGTTCGCGCGGCGATGTTCCGAAGTAAGTCCGACGTAAATCCGACGTCCATTCAGCTGCCAATTTGGCGGCCGAGCGGGCTCGGACGCCGAACGGGCTTCGACGCGGACCGTGGGGTGCTCCTATTGTCATTCCATGTTGCAATGTGTGCTCCCGCTCCCCCCCGTTTCCGCTCCGATGGCAGCCTCGAGCAGGACGCTCGATACTACCATTCACAACTTGGCATCGCTCGGACGTGTGCATTTGAGGGCGCAGTTCCTGCTTCCCTACATCTATAGGGGCAAGGCCCGCGCCCTCTTTGAAGCAGGGGTGCTTCTAAGAAGCCTCCCCTGTTCTGCCCCCCCTCTGCGCGTGGCCGACCTCTTCCTCCTCCTCCTCTCTCCTCCTCCTTCTCCTCCTCCCTCCTCCCCCTCCTCCTCCTCCTCCTCCTTCCTTCTCCTCCTCCTCCCCCTTCTCCTCCTCCTCCTCCTCCTCCTGTGATGGGTCCCCTGTTTCCGTGATATAGGTTTAGCAGTTTGATCTTTCTCTATGAATGTGTGTCTCTATAGCGTTCAAGGTCCCCAATGTTTGGACAGAGTTTCACTCATGACATGAAGGTGCTACTGTTACGTGCCGGTTTGGCTCAAGACAAAAAGCATCCGCTCATCTCGCTGCTGCCACAGTTGGTAGCGGAGCGGTGGTCAGCCATGGCGGGCAGTGGTGGCGCCAGGCGTCGCTAGGGCGGTGGCGCCGGAGCTGCTCGGATGGTCAGGCGACTGCCGCTCCATCAAGGACGTGCAGTGCGTGGATCCACGGCAGGGTGCAAGTATGTCTGCAGAAGAGATCACACAGACGTATGCGACGATGGACGTGGCGAACGCCCAGCCTCCGCAGGTGCCACCACCTGCGTCAGCGAGCGGAACCGCCACAGGGTCGGCCGGGCCCGAGGCAGCAGCAGGTGATCACCTTCGGGATCAGATCCGCGAGGTGGTCCAAGAGATAGTGAGAGACACCATCGCTGCTGCGGGCGACTCGGCTGGTTCGAGGCCGCGAGACGGCAGGAACCTGGGTGGCACCCGGGACAAGGACCAGGATTGGCATGAGAAGTCCTGGAAGGACGACAACGAGCAGTCCGACCCGTGGGACGAGACGGGCGATGACCCTTGGAAGAAGGGCCGCGATCGAGACGGCGACCAGAGGGATCTCTGGAAGACTAGACCCTGGCAGCAGCGAGACGACGACTGGTCGACCGCCGATCGCGGCTGGCAGCGAGGAGATTGGCAACAGAACCAGTGGGGCGGCAAGGGCGACTTTTCCGACCCACCCACATGGCCGGGCTGGGGGCAGGTAGCCGCGTGTGGAAGAAGGCCCTCCAGAGGTGGAACCTGGGGGCCGACGTCCAGGTTCGGAGGCGATTCGAGAAACTGATGTAGGGATTCGACTGGGCTATGCAGGCCAAGTTCGAGGACCTGAGCGACGAGACGGTCGCCGGTCCTCAGTGGTTGGACGCGGTGCTCCGGCGGATGGACATGGCCGGAGAGCGCGAGGGTGACGACCTGAGGCGTGCTGGCAGGCGAGCGCTTTTCGAGTGCACGCGCGAGGCGAAGGAGACGTTGACCCAGAGCGTCACTCGCCGGGATCAGCAGCTCTTCGAGGCGGAGACCCACAACATTTGGATTTCGGAGAAGATGAAGGGCTTCCTGCTCGAGGTGGGAGCCGGACTGTCTGCCCAGGGCCAGCAGAACTTCCGGACCCTCACCAGAGGCAGCCTGGAGTGCAGCCAGGTCTCCTGGGCTTTGAGGCAGCTCGACTGCGGCAGCGGTGAGAAGTTGATTCCTGGGCGCGCTGTCGGCGCAGGCTCACACTCCGTCCTGGCTGCAGAAGTCGGCAGGGACAGCGCAGCCGACTCCAGTCACCCTCCTCCTCCTCCTTCGACCTCTCAGTCCTGCCCTGCCGCTGGCCCTGGTACTGGCGACCCCGGGGGGGATTCATTCTACGACGAGAACGGCAACGGCGAGGAGGAGGATGAAGATATGGTACGAGCTGTCGGAAGCCGACGTGCAGGCGATCTTTGCCGATATCGACGAGATGGACATCTCCGAGGGCGAGGCCGAAGAGGTCTACTTGCAGATGGAAGGGCAGGCCCAGCGGACATGGAAGCAAAACAGGGACCTCAAGCGGGCCGCCCACCAGGGTCGCGAGTTTTACGGCGCCAAAGCCAAGGGCCACGGAGATGCTCGAGGACGAGGGCGCGGTCGACGAGGAGAAGGACGTGGGGCCCGATTCAGACGTGGAGACAGTCGGCGAAATCGAGGACCTCGGAACGGCGAGGTGCACCGCCGCGAGCTCATGAAGGTCACCGGGTGCCAGAACTGCCGGCAAAAGGGACACTAGCGCCGCGAGTGTCTTCGCCCACCAAAGGACAAGAAGGACTCCCCGTCGGGTCGCGGACTCGCTGTGTGCACGTTCACGGGGGTGGCGAACTTCCCGGCCATCTTGGGCGACCAGCTCGAAGTGCTGTGCAGTGTGCGGGACGAGGTTCGCTCCGACGAGATCCACCTCAATGCCGCGGTCGCGCAGGGCTTGGTGGGCCCTGGCGCTGGCAGCGACATCGTGGGGCTGCCGTCCCTCAACCGGGAGTCGGGCGCCCCGGCCAGGTGCGGCCTTCGCTGCGCGGTGGTGTCGAGGGACTTCAAGGCGCCCGAGAAGGCTCGCGGCATCGGCGGCGAGGCCAAGGTGGTCGGCGCAGTGTTGTTTCCGCTCTGCCAAGGGGGAGTTCTCGGGATCGTTGAAACCGCCGTCTTGGCCGAGGATGTACACCGCATCCTGGGCGTGAGTCTTTTGGACTCTCTGGGCTGTGTCCTGGACCCCCCTCGGAACACTTTGTCATCGGGTAGGTTGCAGTCCGACATCGCAGTTCAGAAGATCGGTTCGGGCCGCCGGATGGCCGACGTCGCGCGAGAGGTGTCGGGCGCGCGTATGGCGCCGACCAGCGCCCTAGAGAAGTATCTTTTTGTTGACGGCCACTTCCTTCCAGCTGTCAACAGGCGAGCAGGCGCCCCTCGGCGGCGCTGACGGGGGGATTTCCAAGTGCTTCATCACATCGGTCATCGTTCGCATCCTGGGGCCCAGGCGACCAGGAGGACTTGCCCCGGGGCAATCCGGAGTGCGAGACTACGGGGTCCTGTTGCGCCTCGTGCCGCGGGCTCAGCGAGCTCGCTTCGAATCGGCAACGGCCTCAGGATCCCGGGGAAGTGCTACGGCCCAGAGTGAGGTGCACAAGGAGATCGACGAGAGGCGCGGGCAGTCGAGGTTGAAGGCCAGGGCCTGGAGAGCTCTTGATTTCCTTGGCCGTGCGGGTCAGAGAGTAGCCGAGGCTATCGTCCAGGCAGTTAGGCAGTTCTGGTCATCATTTCCGTAGCCGTCGGCTCGAGCTTCGGCTGTCGAAAGCGCTTCAGGTCTCGACCGCAGTCCGTGTCAACAGGTACTCAGGGTGATGAGTATTCTTCGTGTTATGGTTGCCGTTGTGTCGTTCGCTCTCGGCTTGGCCGGGAAGAAGCAAAGGCGGGCCTCCGGCCGCCAAGGAGGCGACCGAGGAGTTCCTGGCGCGCCATGCGGCAGAGTCGGACGTATCATCGGAGTAATTCGAGCAGTCTCCAGGGGGCGTCGCCGGACCAGGCGACGACGTGAGCATGGCGTCAGCAGAGGCGGGGGCCTGCCGCGCTCAGGCCCTTGCCGCAGCACAAGCAGGGCTGCCGCCACCATCGAACCCGACTCAGCAGGGCGCAGCGGGACTTTCCTCGGCAGCGACGGCAGCAATCGGAACAGCGTCGAGCTCGGGGCCAGCGGGATCGGCGCTGCGGGGCGCGGCCGGGCCTCCGATGCAGCCGCTGATGCCAGCGAGCGCACCGGCCGGGGCAGTCGCAGCCGCGGCGGCGATGGCGCAGGCAGGGGCCGTTTCTCCAGCGCCCGACGGGGCGCTTCCCGACCTCGCTGCAGCGGGAGCTCGGCCAATCCTTCCAATGGCGATGCCGACGGGAGTGGCGCCGGGAGTCCTGGTGGGGCCGGCGGCGACGAAGCCTCCCTGTGCCGTGCCCTCCACCGGCTGGAGCACTGGGGTCGAAGGGCAGCTGGCCGCCGCCGAAGACACCGCCCCGCTGTCCCCATCCTCCGAGCGCGGTGCGCTACTGCGGGAAACAGCACGGCTCTGGCTCTCTGTGTACTCTGTGTCAAGCGAGGGTCGCGTGGATTCCGTGGGGGCAGCAGCCGGGGCAGGGTGGCGAGACGCCACCGTTGCCCACGGCAGCAGATGCAGCGCGGCAGGCTGCGATCAAGTCCAAGAGGATGCTCGAGTACCTACAGGAGGACCCGGCATTCCGCGCTGAGGGCGCGGCCGTGACTACGGTCAACCAGCTGCGTGGCCTCCTCCAAGCCATGCAGTGGCAGCTGGGCACAGTGCCCCAAGGAGTTCGAGCTCTTGGGCAGGTCCAATCGGTTCTCGGCCAGATGAGTGCCGTGGCCATGGCAACCGCGGAAGCGCCGACCCAGATACTGGAAGGCCTCCAACAAATCTACCAAGGGATCCAGCAGATCCGCCACATTCTCGGGTCGTTCGAGAGCTTCGCCGAGAGCCTCGACGCGCTGCAGGAGTCGATCAACGTCATGTCCCACGCGGCGTCCAACCTCGAGGCTGCCGTGGGCCAGCTGGGCTACGTGATTGTCAACGTCGGGGCGGCGGTGTCGTCGATTGCGAATGTGCTCAACACCGGCCAGCAGAGCAGTCAGGGATGGCAACAAGGCGATCCATGGGCGGGCGGCGGAGACAGCAGTGGGAGCAGCGGATCGGCGCCGCAGGCGGGCGCGGCGGGTCAGGGACAGCAGCCCCCGTCCCAACCGCCCCAGCCGAGCGAGCAGCCAGGCGACAGGACGACGCCGACGACGACCACGACCTCGGCGACTACTGTGGGACTCAGCCTGGGCATTGTTCCAGAGGACAATGCGATCAGCTCCGGTTGGGGGCTGCTGAGCGATCTCGAGCGCGAAGTGTAGAGTTCCGTCCATGTTTAAACGGGATGGCGGAGGGGTCGAAGGACCATCCGCTGGTACTGGCCGCAGCCTTCTCCAGCGGCAGGCGCCAAGCCTCCGACAGGCAGCGTGCAAGAAATCATTGCCCACGCGACGTTCTCTCCACCTCCTTCCTCTCGTTTCCTATCTTCACCTCCAGTACAACGCCAGCAACTGCGGGGCAAGGGCCGCGCGTCGAGCCACAGGGCGGATATGTCGTGGCCAGACGCGGAGCGGCGGGACAGGTTCCGCCCGAGTTTGAGTGAGTCGAATGGTGGCTGGGCGATTGTACCAATGATGACAGAGGGCTGGCGTGTCCCTCGCGAGTCCGAGAGCACCTACAGGCCATGACTCGAGCAGCCATCGACCCACGCGGGGGTGTGACGAGAGCTTCCCCAGCGACCTCATCTAACAAGGGCGCGGCCTTCATTGGGGTTTTCTCTCTTCCCCGGGTGGCCCCATCGGGCCCAACGTCGCGGGGGTCTTCTCGGCCAGCAAGCCAGTTGGGACGTTCAGCGCGGCTGGGGCTCCAGGAAACCCGGGGACCGGAGGCGTTTGAGGGAAGCTATCGACGGAAAAAATCCGGAACTGGTTTGGCTCTGCCCGCCTCGTAGGACTTTCTCCCTCATCAGCAGGATAAGTGAGGCTTTCCGGGGTCCAATTAAGTGGAAACAGGCGTTTGCAGACAGGGTGGGCGATCTGGTCCCGAGTATGCGTATCGCCGCACATCAGGTAGGCAAAGGTCGGTATGTTGCGTTCGAGCACCCTCTGTTTGCGAGCTGTTGGGCTGCTAAGGTTGTCGAGCTGGTGGCCCGCGTGCCCGGTGTTCGGCGGGCCAGAGTAGATATGTGCACTTTCGGTCTGAGCGTTGCTAAGGGCGGGCTCAACGAGAAACCGACCGGGATCCTGGCGAACCATCCCAGGCTCCAGAAGATTCTAGACCGGCGCCTCTTTTCGGGGCGCCACCGTCATGTGATTCTCGAGGGTAAGAGTATGATTGTTCGGGCCCAAGTGTATCCGCCAGCGTCTGCTGAAGCGGTGGCCCGTGCGGTGACGGAAGAGTGGGGTAGGCCTCGCCGGAGTCATCCCGCCACCTGGGCTCAGGTCGACGAGGGTGGTTTTCCCGAGGACGGTGAGCAGGACTCGCCAGGGGTCGAGGACCAGGAACCCCTGGAGGGCAGCGACGACGACGAAGAAGATGTGCCAGGGACTCGCCCTCTCGGAGGTGCACCGAACCTAGTCCAGAGCCCACGGAGGAAGAAAAACGTTTGGTTTTCCGTCTCCACGTTAACATGGGATATCCTTGTAACCGAAAGTTTCTCAGGGTCCTCAGGGCCGGCGGTGTCAAAATCCACATCTTGAGATGGATCAGTGACTCGTTCCAGTGCCCCGAGTGTGCAGAGAGGGCCCGCTCGAATCACCACCGACGAGTAGGCTTTCTCCGCGCGTTCCGTTTCAACCGCATGCTGGGGGTGGACCTATTTTATCTTCCGTTCCAGGACAAGACGGTGCCGTTTCTCGACGTCGTGGGCCATGGATCCAACCTCCAGGTATGTGCTCGAGTAGAAGAGCCCAGAGCGTCTAGCATGTGGCGTGCTTTTGTGTCGGCCTGGATCAGGCCATTTGGAGCCCCCCACTTCATTCTGTCTGACGGAGGCCCAGAGTTCGAGGATAGGTTTGCGCGCGGTCTCGAACAGTGGGGGGTATTGCATCACGCTTATGGCGCCAACTCCCCTTGGCAGAATGGGCGAGTAGAACGCCATGGTGGTTTGATTAAAGAACGTTTCAAGGGGGTGGTGGTGGAAGCGGGGGCCGCTCTTCCGGGGGACCTCCAGGAGTTGGGCGAGCTCATTCACGAGCTCTGTGCTCACAAAAACCGCCTTTGGCATATGAGAGGTTTTTCCCCCATGCAGTTGGTTTTCGGGGAAAACCCCAGGCTGCGGCACGAAATATTGTCCGATGACCACATGGGACCTCCTGGGTGGCAGGACTGTCTGCGACCCGCCACCGAGCAAGACTCGGCCGGAGCCAAGTTCGCCCGCTCTTAGAGAATCCGAGATGTTGCTCGCCGATTGGCGATGGAAGTCACTGCCCAGGACAAGCTCCACAAAGCGAGTACGGCTCGAGGTCCTACGCAGGCGGTCTTCAGTCCAGGCCAGTGGGTCTTCGTGTGGCGCCGACTGGCTAAGGCCGGGTAGCGGGCGGACTCGCTGGGTCGCAGGCGGGGAGTTTGGACGGGTCCTGGGGTCGTGGTGCTTGCCGACAAGGGGACGGTCTGGGTCGCGGTCCGGGCCAGGCTGTGGAAATGCTCCCAGGAGCAAGTGCGTCACGCGAGCCCAGAGGAGGAATTCGGTATTCAAGTGGCGCAGGACCCCCAGTGGTCAGAGCTTCTGTCACAGGCGCAGGCTCGTCGAGCCAGTGCCGTGGACGTCCAGCGAGAGGGTTCTCTGGCAGACGACGCGTGGGATCAAGCGTTGCCGCCAGGTTCGCATTCTGCCCCCCAGGTGCCAGGGCCTCGGGTCGAGCTGAGTCGAGCGGGGGGCCCACGGCCAGCGGGGCCCATCGGATGCGAGGGGACACGACCCGATCGGGTCTGCTCCTCCTCCCTTTTCCCGCATCGTCCGGTCTAGGCCCTCGTCAGCGGGCGGTTCGGTTGTGGCCAGGGATGGCTCAGAGCGCGCGAGGCTCCCGTGCATCGCTGAGAGTGTCGACGAGACGGAACGGGGCCCCGAGGAATCCGCCACGCCACCCGGCGGCGAGAAGGGCCCCGCCGCCTCGGATGTCGAGGGCAGTCCAGCTGATCCAGGAGGCCAGGAAACGGGCCCGGGAGAGCCCAGTGCTTCCCCCCTTTTCCTCTTCCGATCCCCCTCCTCCTCCTCCTGTCGCTCTCTCTCTCTCTCTCTCTCTCCCCCCTGTTGCACTCCCCCCCTTCTCTGGAGGTCGCAGCGCCCGCGGCGCGCGGGCGTTGTTGTCCGCGACGGGTGGCTGTTCTTTTGGGCCGTCCGCGGGGTTTCCGCCTGGCTTCTCATAGAGCAATGACATCGTCGTCGTCATCGTCATCATCATCGTCATCATCGTCATCGTCATTCATCATCATCATCATCATCATCATCATCATCATCATCATCATCATCATCATCATCATCATCATCATCATCATCATCATCATCATCATCATCGACATCATCATCACCATCATCATCATCACCATCATCATCAATATTCTTAGTATTGTTGTTATTATTATTCGTATCATCATTGCGATGACAACTATTTTTACTTCTATTATTATGATTACCATTATCATTATCATCGTCGCCATCGTCATCATCACCATCACCATCATCATCATCATCATCATCATCATCATCACCATTTTCACCATCATCATCATCATCATCATCATTATCATCATGGTTATCGTTATCGTCATCATCACCATCATCATCATCATCATCATCATCATCATCATCATCATCATCATCATCATCATCGTCATCATCATCATCATCATCATCATCATCATCATCATCACCGTCGTCGTCGTCGTCGTCGTCGTCGTCGTCGTCGTCGTCGTCGTCGTCGCGTCGTCGTCATCATAGCAGCGCCTTTGTGCCCCCCTGCCCGCCCACTCTTTCGCGGACCCCAGGGGGGCGGGGCCAGCGCCTGGCGCCCCCCCCGGTGGGCGTGCCCTCGCCTGGCCGGCCCCCGCCCGAGGTGGCAGGAGCTCGTCGCGAGGCACGGGAAGAAGCTGATCAGCGAGATCCTGGCCCTCGAGGATCCGGCCGCCACAGTGACAGAATTCCACGAACTTCCATTCCAAGGAACTTGCCAGGAACTTGCACCGGGCCGATGCACACCCCAGGGGTGCTATGTTTGGACGCACGCCCCCCCTTGTCGCGTACCGCAGGGCTGGGCCCCAACATGTCTGGTCCGCTCGAAGACACCACGAAGCCTGGGATAGGGGGGCGACATATCCCCTGTCACCGGGCCGCCACAGCGGGGCTGGAGTGAGGCATCCCCAGCTCTCCGACGATGGGACTTTTTCCATTCCAGGCGTTCCTCCTGGGCTTCGGCCTCCAGGGCCTGTCACAGGGCCCTGGGGCCACCAAGAACGGATCGGGGGCGCAAAGCTGGCCCCAGCGAAGGGGTCGGGAGCTCTGGGGCCGCGGATGGAAAAAATCAGATCGGAGGACGTCTGGGTCGGCGATGCGGCTCGGTTTGGATCCCGATCTTCTCCACGCCGCTGTGGCAGGCGGTCTTTCTCCCCCAATCCCCGAGTTCCTCCCGAAAAGTTTGGCCGTACAGAAATGGGGGAAGCCCTGGGATACTTGGCACCAGCAGAAGTTTCCTTGGACAGTCTCATGGGGAAGTATTCGCAAATGCGCGCAATCACCGTGTTACGCCCTAGACCCAGAATGGTATCACTGGGACCTCAGACCACCAACGATGACCTCAAGGAGACCCTGAGATGACCCTGAGATGACCCCACATTGTCTGAAGATTGCTTCAAGACGGCCCTAACGTAGCAGGATTCCTTGAACTTATGGACCCCATCGTACGCCGAGCCGGTCGAGCTGAACTTCTATTGTTAAAGGGGACTAAGCTAGGCGGGATCCCGCCCAGCCCACGGCAGAAGACTACATTGCTAGGATTCTACGGAGGTAGGGGGTTCTGGAAGGACGTCATCTATTTCCGCTGTACTCTGCAAGCCTTCCGCCGTACTTCGCCTCGTTCTACTTCCGTCGACTTCCGCGGACGTCCATTATTTTCGCTGTCTTCTGCATGCCTTCCGCCGTCTTCCACCTCGGTCTACTTCCGTCGACTTTCGCTTGTGATCGTCGTGACAAAATTCAAGAAACTTGCATTGGGTCGCTGTACGCCCCAAGGGGGCTATTCGGACGCGCGCCCCTACCGAAGGTGGGCGCCCCCCTTGTCGTATATCGCAGGGCTGGGCCCCAACATTTCTGGTCCGCTCGAAGACACCACGAAACCTGGGATAGGGGTCGACATATCCCCTGTTACCGGGCCGCCACAGCGGGGCTGGAGTGAGGCATCCCCAGCTCTCCGACGATGGGACTTTTTCCATTCCAGGCGTTCCTCCTCTTTCCATGTCACAGGGGCGATCTCCCTCCTGGGGGCGATTCGGACGTCTCCAGGGCCGCTGTGGCACAGGGCCCTGGGGTCCACCAAAGGAGAGCAGGCATGGCCAGGGGGGGCCGCGAAGAGCTTCCGTAGCCCCGAGAGCCGGAGTGACGCGAGGTCCGAACAGCTCGCCGCGAGGCACGGGGAGGCGCGGAAATCGGCGAGGCCCTGGCCTTCGGGGAACGCCGGAGTGGCGCGTGATCTTCGCCTCGGAGGGCAGAACACCGCACAAGCACAGGTGATGAGCCCATTGGAGGTAGGAGGAGGAGGAGGAGGAGGAGGAGGAGGAGGGAGGGGAGGAGGAGGAGGAGGGGAGGAGGAGGAGGAGGAGGGAGGAGGAGGAGGAGGAGGGAGGAGGAGGAGGAGGAGGAGGAGGAGGAGGAGGAGGAGGAGGAGGAGGAGGAGGAGGAGGAGGAGGAGGAGGAGGAGGAGGAGGAGGAGGAGGAGGAGGAGGGAGGAGGAGGGAGGAGGAGGAGGAGGAGGAGGAGGGAGGAGGAGGAGGAGGAGGAGGAGGAGGAGGAGGAGGAGGAGGAGGAGGAGGAGGATGAGGAGGAGGAGGGAGGAGGAGGAGGAGGAGGAGAGGAGGAGGAGGAGGAGGAGGAGGAGGAGGAGGAGGAGGAGGGAGGAGGAGAGGAGGAGGAGGAGGAGGAGGAGAGGAGGAGGAGGAGGAGGAGGGGAGGAGGAGGAGGAGGAGGAGGAGGGCCTCCTCATCCTCCTTTCTCCCCCGTCCTACATATGGCAGCGGTGGTGGAAAATTTGCCCATCAACAGGGTCAGGAGCTCTGGCTCAGCGTGTCGCTCCGCCGGTTCTGGCCCACCGCGCCTCGGCGCGACGCGTCGTTCACTTCGCGGTCCCCAGGCGTCCATGTGCTGAGCTTCTCGGCGGCAAGCGAGGGGGAGAAGTGAGAAGGAGGAGGCCTTCTCAGAAGGTTCGAAAGTCCCCCGGCTGTCCGAGAAGTTTTCTAAAGCCTTCCCCGAAGGCGTAGAACAAAACTTATGAGCAGGCGCGAGGGCTTCTGAGAAGTCCCGCTGCCTTCTGAGAAGGCCTTCTTCTTCTCATTGCCCCCCCCTCGCTCGCCGCCGATTTTCCCAGCCGCCCCGCGGGGCGGAGCGACACGCTGTCCGCTTGCAAGGCGTGGCGTGTCGCCGGGGCCGCCGCCGCGACACGCTGAAGCAAAAGTTTCCGACCGGAGGCTCTCGGAGGTCCGCGCGGATGTCTCGAGTCGGCGCTGGGCCGGCCTGGCGGCGCCTCCTGGCGCGCTGCCTGCGCCACGGGGGGGGGTCCGGCGCTGGCCCAGGAAATCCACATGCACCCCCGACAGTTTATATCTCAGAGGAGGAAGAGGTACCCTTAGCGCTGCCCTTCCCTCCTTTTCACCTTTTTGGGCCTCCTGGGAGGCCCTCGTCGCCACCGCTGGATTCGCCTCGAAGTCCTGGTCAGAGCGCACTCCGGGAGAGTTCCGGGGAGAAGCGGTATCGGTACCTTTTGACTTCCCCGGTATCAATGTTTTTTTTTGTCCTTCGCATCGTTGTACCCCTACGATAAGACGTGCGTCGCGCTCTAAGAGCCCTGCGCGCGCACTACGCGCACCCCGTTGAATGCCGTCCCCCTCCACCTCCGCCTCCTTTCCCCTCGCTGTCCCCTGCCCTCTTCCTCCTCCCCCTGCCATGCCGTCCGTCTCCCTCCTAATTACGTATCCCCTGCACTCCATCCCACCGCCGGTTGCTCCTAGACTGCGCACGACGGCCGGCTGGCTACTGCCACCTGGCGTGAGCGAAGCGAAAAACTACTCAGGTGCAGGTGCCTGCGTCGTAACGTCGCAGGCGACCTTCTCCAAGGAGGAGGGCAAGGAAAGGGCAGTTCTACCCGCCCCCGCGCGCCCTCCCCTCCAGTGGCCTCTTCTCGTTTTTTTTGTTTGCTTTGTTTAGTTCCCAACCATCCTGTGGTGTTGGGTCTTCGTTGTGAAGAAACGACGCCTCGCGTTCCTCCTCCTTCCTCCAGTTCCTCCCTCCTCCCATCCCTGCCGCTGCCCTCCGCATGTCAACCAGTTCGGCACACCTCTTACACGTTTCGTGGCCCCATAGGGGGGTCCAACTAAGGCCTAAATGCCAGCGTTTGCATGGCGTACCCGCACCCGATTCGGCACACCCCTCACATGTTTCGCGGCCCCATAGAGAGCCCCAACTAATGCGAATATGCATGCGTTCGCATGGCGTGCCCGCACCCGATGCGGCACACCCCTCACACGTTTCGTGACCCCATAGGGAGCTCCACCGAAGGCCGCATTGGCTGCGTTCGCATGGCGTACTCTCATTTGATTCGGCTCACCCTTCACACTTTTGGTGCCCCCGTATGGAGTTTCATCGAAGGCTCCAATGGCAGTGTTTGCATGGCGCACCCGCCCCAGATTCGGCACACACTCACACGTTCCGTGGCCCCATGGGGGGCTCCACCGAAGGTCTCAGTGGCTACGTTCGCCTTGCGTACCCTCATCTGAGTCGGCACACCCTTCACACGTCTCGTGGCCCCGCTATGGAGCTCCAACGAAGGCCCCAGTGGCTGCGTTCGCATGGCGCACCTGCACCCGAATCGGCACACCTCTCACACATTTCGTGCCCCATAGGGAGCTGCCTCTTTCTCGTCCCACCTGCCTTGCGGTACCTGCGCCCGCATATGGTTGGGTTCTTCGACAGGGTCTATGTTGGTTGTGTGCGTTTTTTTATGTCAGGGAGGCGGGGGCGGCTTGCTTGTTTTCCTTTTCGGCACGCCCATTATCCGTTTCGTGGCCTCACAGGGAGCTCCACCGAAGCAACCAGGGTGGATGGGGTCGCACAGCGTTCCCCAGTTCATTCCAGCATACCTCTCACACGTTTCTTGGCCCCATGTGGAGCTCCACCGAAGGCTGCAGCAGGAGGACCCGCATGCCGCCACCTCCGCACTTCGGCACACCCCTTACATGCTTCGTGGCCCCATAGAGAGCTCCAACGAAGGCTCCAGTAGGAGGGCCCGCATGCCGCCAACCCCTGATTTGGCACACGCTTCAAGCGCTTCGTGACCCCATCGGGAGATCCACCGAAGGCTCCAGTAGGAGGGCCCGCGTGCTGCCCCCCCCTCCACTTCACTTTGGTATACCCCTCACTCGTTTCGTGGCCCCATAGGGAGCTCCACCGAAGGCCCAAGTGGGAGGGCCCGCATACGGCTCCCCGCCTATTTCGGCACACCCCTCACACGTTCTGTGGCCCCACAGGGGCTCCACCGAAGGCCCAAGTGGGAGGGTCCACATGCGTTTTTTTTTTCGGCACACCTCACACACGTTTCGGTGGGGAGGAGGAGGATGAGGATAATGAGGAGGAGGAGGACCACATTAAACGCGAGATCCATCAACCATATTGCAATACATCCACTCTCCAAGTTCACTTTCCATGGGCCCCTACTACGGTTCATTTCCACTGCAGGAACTGCCTTGTTGGAAGACAACCGTTTGACGACCCTGAAGCATGCAAACACATTATTCTCGTGACTCCGACCTGACTGCTGCGTCTTGACGCTCCCGAATCGTGCCAGAACGCCATTCCTGGGACTTCAACACCGCGAATCAACATGACTGTGGCACCATCATAATGCTGACTTTTTCCGAAGCACCATTTCCGGCACGTTCATCATGGGAATCCGTGAAATTCTTCTGCCCAAAAAAAACAAAAAACGGATGTGCGCGTTGCCAAGGCGATCCACATTCTGAAAACGACCCGCCCTCCATCCGTGAAACTTGTTGCAATGTTTAAGACGAATGTGCGCAGCGCTGAGGCGAGAGCCACATTTTGAAAACGGCCCGTCCTCATTCCGTGAAGCTCGTGCAACGCTTTGAAGGCGAATGTGCGCGGCGCTAACACGAGAGCCACATTTTGAACACGGCCCGCCCTCCATCCTTGAAGCTCATGCAAACTTTTGAAATGAGTGTGTGCGGCACTGAGGCGAGAGCCACATTAAAAAAAACGACCCGCCCTCAATCCGTGAAGCTCTTGCACAGTTTTAAGACGAGTGTGCGCGGCGCCAAGGCGAGAGCCACATTTTGGAAACCACCCACCCTCAATCGGTGAAATTGTTGTCATTTTTTACGCGTCAGGGTCATGAATGATGAGGAAGTCTCAGGCGAAACGCCCGGTCCGCCCTGAAAGTCTGTCTCGGGGTGCGACTGGGAGAAGTTAAGTATGAGGGAAAGGAATGACAAGGGATGAGGCGAATGATGATGATGATGAAGATGATAATGATGATGATGATGATGATGATGATGATGATGATGATGATGATGATGATGATGATGATGATGATGATGATGATGATGATGATGATGATGATGATGATGCTGATGATGATGATGATGATGATGATGATGATGATGCTGATGCTGATGCTGATGATGGTGATTGATGGTGATGATGATGCTGATGATGATGATTATGAGGAGGAGAGGAGGAGGAGGAGGAGGAGGAGGAGGAGGAGGAGGAAGAGGATGAGGAGGAAGAGGAGGAGGAAGAGGAGGAGGAGGAGGAGGATGAGCAGGACGAGCAGGAGGAAGAGGAGGAAGAGCAGGAGGAGGAAGAGGAGGAGGAGGAAGAAGAGGAGGAGGAGGACGAGGAGGATGAGGTGGAGGAGGAGGAAGAAGAGGAGGACGAGGTGGAAGAGGAGGAGGAGGAGGAGGAGGAGGGGAGGAGGATGACCAAATTAAACGCGAGACTCTTCAACGATATTGTAATCGACTCTCTCTCCAAGTTCAGTTTCAACTTGCCCCTACAAAGGATTCATTTTCACTGAGAGAATTGCTCCGTTGGAAGACAACCGTTGAACATCCAGAACTTTGCCAGAAGACCATTCCTGGGACTTCAAGGCCGCGAATCACCGTTACTGTTGCGTCTCGGCGATCCTGAATCTTGCCAGAACGCCATTCCTGGGATTCCAACACCGCGAATCAACGTAACTGTTGCGCACTGGCACTCCGACATCGTGCCACAACAACAGATTTGGACCGTGCACCGTGGGAATCTCCGAAATTGCTGTAAACTCTGAAAACGAATGTGCGCGGCGCTCATGCGATAACCACATTCTGGAAACGACCCGCCCTCCATCCGTGAAACTTGTTGCAATGCTTTAAGACGAATGTGCGCAGCGCTGAGGCGAGAGCCACATTTTGAAGACGGCCCGTCCTCATTCCGTGAAGCTCGTGCAACGCTTTGAAGGCGAATGTGCGCGGCGCTAACATGAGAGCCACATTTTGAACACGGCCCGCCCTCCATGCTTGAAGCTCTACGTGGGGTGGGGTATTTATACGGAGAAGGAGAGGAGGAGGCGGAGAAGGCGGAGGAGGAGGAGGAGGAGGCGGAGGAGGAGGAGGAGGAGGAGCGAGGCGGGAGGGTAGCGAGGAAAGCAAAGCCTTGCCCCCCCCTCCTCCCCCTCCCCCCCTTCCCTCGCCCTGCCCTGCCGCCTCCTCGCGCCGCCCACCCTCCCTCGTGGATCGAGCCATGGCGCAGCTTGAGGCCGGGGCGCGGCCCGCTCCCGAGATGCCCAGGCGCGGCGACGGCTGCTCCTCTGTGTCCTCGCGCTCGTCGGGGTCCATCTCGAGCTGGCCTGATCCGATCCGGTGTCGGTTCTCGAGCTGGCCCGATCCGATCCGATTCCGGTGTGCCGACGATGCCGATGCGGCCCGATGCTCGCATGGCGCTGTTGCCTTACATCCTGGCGCGGCTGGTCCGATTCGATTCCGACTGCGTGCTGATGCGGCCCGACCCGACGCACATTTCAAGTCGATCCGATGTCTCGATTCGATGCTGACTAGTCCTGCTTGTGCTTTACAGCCAGCGCGAGGGTTAAGAACAGTTTTACTCGAGGAGCAACAAAAGCACAGCATACACAGACATTCGGAGGGCTGCGAGGATATCCGAAAGTTCATTTCCAAGACAGTACTTCTACAATTTTGTTCATGCCGTGTAATCGTTTTATTCGTGACGCCGGCCCAGACTGTCCTATCGCCGGCGTTTGCCCGCGTGTTCGTTGCCACTGCGGCGCTGCTGGGTGGTTGTAGTTCTTCTGAGGTGTTGCGTGGGCAGTTATGGACGTTCAGTAGTTGCCCAAGAGCTTATCCTGGAGGGCTGGTTGGGAGCTTCTGTGCAGTGGTTGGGACCATCGTGGGCCCACATGAGGCCTCTTGGGGTTGTGTCGGTGCCATCTTGGGTCCAGCCACCCATTGGTTGCCGCTCTAGGACCATCGTGGGGTCTGTTTGGGGTCTGTCTTGGAGGTGTCCCGGGCTTTTCCTGGGGAGCGCTTGGCGGTTTTGGAAGGCTTGTTGTCCATTCGGGCTCCAGTTGGAGCCATCTTTGCGATCTTGGATTTCTCTCGCGAAAGTAAATGCGGATGCGTGGGGAAGATGTCATGCGGACACCGGGAAGCCACACAATTCACACAACGATGCACCTTCTGCAGGGGGAGGTTGGCGGG